AATTATAAATGTTGGTAAAACTATCGTAATAATTAAAAAATATACTCCACAGTTTATTTCTATTCGAGCTAGTCCGTATAATTAATAGTAAAATAAAATTATGTATTATAGTGTTAGTTTAACGACTAACTGAAATTTATATGAAAATAAATAAGAAAACTGTATTTGACGTCAATAATTATTTTCACATTTGTGAGTAAGTAATTACTTCATAGGAACAAAATTAATGCTTAAAAGGGCCTTATATTTGTATTTTGGATAAAAATGCAAAGTTTGTTATATGAACTAAGAATTTTATTTCAAACTCGAAACTACAAGATCATAAAGGCAGACTTCATGAGTGTACATAGTACAATAATCCTAAAAAATAATGATAGAATTCATGTACCCTTAGGATAGTAAAAATTACCAATTATAAAGGTGTGTTATGAGTTATAAAAAATATACTTTAAGATGTTGAGCTCTTGGCACTTTTTTTTTAAGGGCATAATTATAATTTTTTAAGTAACTATAAGAAGCTCCATAGAAACAAATAAAATAAATACATTATTTTATCATATAATAAAACTATTTTATAATATTTATAACAATAACAGTATTATTATTCCATAATACCTGTAATACAAATTATTTATTTTCAAAATTTTATTCAGATTTAAAAAAAAATATTTTACATAGTATTTTTGTAGCTAATACGTAATAGTTTTATTAAATACTACCAAGAAATAATCAAAAAATAATAAAAATATTATAAGTGTCAAATAAGTATAAAATACAAATAATAAACGTGTTATAAATCCTAGTTCATGTTATTTTAAACATATTAAAGATAATACTAACTATTTAAAATAACAATATTTAAAATAATGTGACCTCTTCATTGTCTTTCGATTTATGAAATTAAATACATTGCAATTGAAATATTATTTATTGTACATTTGTAACTTTATATATTATTAGAATTAAAATTATCAATAACTTATATTATATTTTTATCCAGGTGCTAAAAACCCACTTATCTTAGATCTACCACTTTTGTGAATTGTGCTAAAAAAAATATAAATTGAAATTCTACCTTCATCACAAGTTGAATCAAACAATTTGTGCTCAAATAATCTCCATATTCGTTTTCATGCACGTAAAAATAAAAACTATTCTGTCGTATAATAAATAAAGCAACGTTACAATGCATACAAATATCAGTCCCCTAAATAATTCCCTATATATATATATATATTATATTTAAATTTACCTCGATACTGTAATTAATTTAATCTTCTCTTCTCGCACTTGTATAATATGCATATGCATCATATTATTTAATTTTTCAAATTGTATCTATAATCCATTTTATTGTATTATTGTATGTTTATTTTTATTAATTATATTTAAAATAGCACTCAATCGCACTTTAATTATTGTAATATTTTACTCATCATTTTCAAGAAATAATTGTGTATAATGCAGAATGCTCTTTAAAATAAAGGGGAAAACAATTTTAAATTGCAAATGTATATTATTTAATAATACATTAGTATATTATTTTGAAATTACATAAATAATGAAACAAACTGTGCTAAGTTTGTTATAATTTACTATTACGTATAAAATTAAAAAGAGATAAAATATTATCTTTTGAATCCACCAACGGTAAAAATACTTCCATCTTATATAGTATTTTAATAAACTGAGTGTTTAAAAAGAGTTTTTGAGTATAACCAACATGAGCAATCAACTTATGCAATAATATTGACATCTATGGCTGAATATTAATTTATAGAAAAATAAAGACTATTAAATTCTCTTATAGACAAAAATTCTAGTTTTCAGTTTATTTAAAGTTTCACAAGATAGATAAATAATTTAATTTGAAATTAAAACAAAAGTTAGTCAAAAACATTCAAAAATATTTTTTATTTAAAATAATAAGCTTGTCTATATTTTAAAACTGTTCTCATTTGTTTTTAAATCACACATATTTTTTTAATACAGTTTACATATTATTTTTAAAACTAAAAATAATTCAAGTTTTTTTACCACCCTAAATATTTTTAGCGGAAAACATAAATATTCTAGTGTACAGTAAAAATAAAAATTAATTTAAATTTAAATAAATATTAATTTATTAATTTATTTATTTATTTTAATTAAATTTTATAAAATCAAAATGTTCGGGGTTTATAGTAGGTAAAATAAATTTTTAATATAAGGTTAGGTTAATGGAGTAATATAATATTTTAGAAAATTAATTTTTAAATTAAACAACATGAAACTAGACCGATTTGAGTTAAAATCTATTCCGTACTAAAATGAATCCTGAAAAATTGGCTCTGCGTCGTGGGATTTTGAATACGGTAAATATATTTAAATCTTATTAAAATAAAGTATGTATACATGAAAAAAATGTGAATCCATTTGCTGAGTTCAGATACGTTGTCAACGGTAAAGAAATAAAAAGGTTTCGACCTTTTTTCAGAAAGAACAACGACTGCACTGTTACCACAATGAGAGCTACCAAAATAATATACCTATTGATTTTAACATGATGAATGATTCTCTTTAATTAAAATTTTTTGCATCTGTTTACAGGATTTTCATCAGAGTAATTGCTCCAATCGTAAAAATAAGGGATAACTTCTAACAACAAACATTATCTTATGGTACTTTCGTGAGGTTAATTTTTAATTTCTTAAAAAACATCAAACATAATGACATAAATTAAGGAATACTGATTTTCAAAAAAAACCTAATTATTTTGTCTTACAATACTTAAAAAATTATAGCCATAAAATATGAAATTTTTACTGAATAGATTTACCATCGTTCTCCAGAAATAAACAAATTTTTAAAATATTTTAATTTTTTTTATATAAGTGACAGATAGTTTTTGACATAGTATTTTAATTTGTCCAAAAAAATTATCAGAAATCCATAACCGCATTTGTTTTTATAAGCGTTTGAGTTTTAATTATTGACAAAAGTCGACCCAAACCATGAACCAATCTGAAATATTTATGTAACTAGAAATGCATAAAACTTCTGAATACAGATAATACATCAGATTTGATCAATTAATATTAAATTCTTCACAATTTTTCATTGACAAAACAATAAAAAAAAATTTGTGTAAGTCACGAAAAATCGTTGTATTATATTCAATTATATGATACGATAACTAACATTTTAATTTAGTAGGGATTTTGTAAAAAGAAGGAGTATCTTTACTATAAAAAAGTAAAGTATAGTATATTTTAGAAAGCATATAAGTATTATTGTCACAATAATTTTAATGTTATTAATGTATTGATTTTTTTATGAGCTATAGCAAAATATAATAAATTATTTATATTGATTCGAGTACTGAACATTAAAGACTTAAGAGTCAACAGCTAGATATTTCCAGTTTTTTTTTTTTATATATCAAGAAGCAATCATTTTTGGTTAAAAATACAAATTTGTAATTATTTTTCATATTGTTATAATAAGTAGTTTAATATACACTGATTCAATCATAATCAATAAAAAATTTTACTTTAAAAGTGAAGAAAAATAATAATGATCTACATTTCATTTTGAAGAGTTATAGAAAAAGGAGAAGTATGTTGCTTAATAGATAAGCAATAGTTCTTTAGATGTTTAAAAATGAAAAACTTGGTTTTTTATTCGAAAAAGTTTTTTATACATTCTAGTTATTACTTTAGTAAAAGGATATAATAAAATGTAAATAATTAATTATTATTGATGTAAAATTAAACAATTAATATTTAGTAATAGCGTACTGCTATCACAATGCTTTTTGAAGTACTGATTTTTTAAAATACATTTGCTCTAGGTCAAATTGTTAATTCACTTAGCGCATATCTTCAAATGCACTTTACACGCAATATTGACATAATACATTCTGAATTTTAGTTGAGGCATTTTGAGGATTATAACATATGACAGTATATGTTTTATAGTGTTATTACATTTCAAGTGCTTTAAATATATATATATTATAATACAATATGATTATAAAGATGAAGCAAGAAATATAATATATACATGGCGTCCCACGAAGGTTTTTTAATACTCCCAAATTAAATTAGTAAGCTCTCACGGAACACCCTGTATATTATGTATGTATATGTTGTAAAATATTCTCATTTTATAACAATGTTATTTTAACCTTATATATGTATAGATGTATATTTATAAGCCACCATAACGGAGATGTAGGTCAATTAGGAATTTTTAATTTATTTCAAACCCGTAAAATTATATACATACCAACCCACAGGGACCTTACCCATTGGTATCAATCTCGGACATACTACTTCAATCGAAAACGTTATTTGTAAAAATCTTAAGTATGATTTAAAGATGATATTGGTTCAAGAAAAATTATCTTTGGTTCATTTTAAATTCCCTCGATTATAAAGTTATGCTAGTTATACAAAAATAAATCAAACAAAAAAAAAAGTTAACCAACATTTTAGTTTTAGTTCTATGCAATGTCAAAATAATAAAAGTATAAGAATGTGTAGTAATATACCAACAATAATACCGGTAATAATACTGATAATAATGTTTCAAACCGAAATCGATATTTATTGTCTTATTTACAAATTACTATATCATTACTACTGCTACGTACTAATATGTTTAGTAAACTGGACCAAGCCTATTTTGAATCCACTAGAAAAATTATGAACAGTTAGGGAGGTTTAAGGGACACGGCCTCGTGAAGTACTGTTCCGGTCTGCCGCGCATATCCTAAAACATCGAAAACACCGAAGAAACGTTCGAAGATAACTTCATGATGTTGCGTAAGTGTTGGTTCCGACGTTTCGTTTGCGATACTACCCGATCGGATGCGACTGCACGATGGAAAAATAGCGATTCAAAACAACAGTTGCGCCGGATCGGGCCACGAGTCGGACAGTGCGAACGATCGTCGCACTACGTGTCGTACCGCGAGTTGTGGCGTAGAGGGTGTGTTTCGGGCGCGCGACCCTTACCTCTGAATTCCAATTTGAACAGTCTCTCGCCGCTGTACTTGGGCACCTTGCAACAGTTGATCTTGACGACTAAGCGCATGGTGGCACTCGGAAAAACCGGGAAACGCGCAGACAGTGCGGACGCGCAACGACGACTGCGACGACTGCGGCGGGGTCGGCGGTAGCGTCCGCGATGGGACCGGCGCAACAAGCGCTCGGGATTCGTACTTGTTGATTCGTGTCCGGACTTTTTTCATTATTTTTTTTTTCGTTTTGGTTTTTTTATTCGCACCCGCACAACGGTGCCCGCCCTCTGCCGGAGTGGCCTCGCGAACGAGTTTCGTCCGAGCTGTGTGTGCATGCTGCGGGGGGGGGGATTCTTTATTTGATTATTTTATTTTAATTGATTATTTATAGGCGTTTAAAACTTAAACGCATTAATACGGAAACATTTCGTGAAGTATCACGTATATCCTTTTTTTCTGTATTTGCTATTGTTCGATTCCTATCGGATTTAAATTCGATATGCCATTGAATAAATAATAATCAACTCGTTCCGTTTTGAACGTTTACACATCCTTTGTTTTCGGATAGAAATATTCTGACTTTTACTCTTTAATATCGACTAGAAACTGATTCAATACATTGTTATCTTATAAAGTTATTATTATAATTAAGTAAATTAATTAATTGTACACAGTATGGAGCAGAATGATTAAGTGAACAAATAATTTTTTATAATAGGCAATATATTACCTATATTATATATGTTACGAGCAATGTGATCCAAGAATATTATCTAATAAATTTAATTCAATTGTGGATTTATTATACCTATTATACTGATAGAATGAAAAAAAAATATAACTAATATCATTATATCAATGAAAACTATGAGATTTTTCAAACACGCTGTATAAACATATTTTTGCTATCTATCGTACTACCTATTTAAGAATCATATAGTTTTCCCATAATATAGACATGTCCATATTAGAATGATAAAATAAAATAAAGTCTTGATAAGATCAGTCAACAATATATAAACAATAATTGATATTTTCGATTATCCATTCGAGTTTTTGTACTTTACGTGACAATACGGCATTATACTTCGTTACAATTTGTACACATGTTTTAAAAATGGAATCTAAATTTTACGAAAATTTTAACAAAGTTATTGAAACGAAAAAACTAACAGTACTTTTATTAGTAAATCTAAATATTATGAGATAATTAATTATTTAAAACAACTAAAACAACTTCCATACCCATTTCATTAACTATTTGTAGTATGGCACTAGATCGTGCTTGTTTATACAGTTCCACAAATTAACAATTTGTGTCATCAGACTACTTTGGTAACCATTATTTTAGTTTTACAAAAACACTTTATTACAAAACAATTAAAATAAACATTTAATGACTAAATCGGTAAATTTAAAAATTGTTATTGGGAATTTATGATAATATCACAGCTATTGTGATAATATGATAATATTTGATAACAGACCTATGGTAGGGGAAGGAAAGTGGCCTGAAAAATAAAACGAGGGCAATTAACTTGCCTTACTCAGTAACTTGCCACGCAACTTTACTTGTTAAAATTGTAAAAGCAAGTTAGTGTTCACACAAGGAAACTTGTTCGAAGTAGCTGAGCAACTTGACTTGCCTATTACTTGCCTCGTGTAAACCCGCCTTTTGTTTCATATACGATAAGCTATTCACGAATATGGACTATGAACTTGTGAGTCGAATCAAGAGCCGAGACTTGAAGAGTTGATTAGAGTAGTGGTAATCCGATCCACACAAAGAGTTGAGAGTTGGGAGTCGACTCAGTGGCGTAGCCAGGATTTTTAAATGGGGGGGGGGGCTAACCACTTTTTTTGGATAAGTAAGGTAAGAGAGGATAT